GTTGTGAACTGCTATCAGGAAGAGCCCAGACATTAAAGAGGATTTAGCTGGCAACGTGTTATTTTGCTGTAGCTTTCTCAAAAGCAGGTTTGGAACCAGTGGTTGTTGGTCATGATGAATGGCTCATGTAGCCACAAAGTGTGATTCCCAAACCTGGCTAGGATTTGGAAACCACACCTAGGACACTTATAGAAACATGTGATATATATTTCAGGGTTCTGAAAATATACAAAAAACATTCCCTGAAATGTTTATAGATAGATGTATTTTGAAAAATTTCCCACTGGACAAGAGCCCATGCCCAGTTGTACTGTATTTGAGTTCACCTGCCTTGTCAGTAGATTGTAGGCTCTTTGAGGGCAGGAAGCATGTCCTTGCTCTGTTGTCAATCCACCATGCCCAGAACTCATGGAATGCTCAGGACATTGAAGGAATGAATGAATATGTGATGCTTGTAATCAGCTTCCCAGGATAAACCAACTACATTCTCTGACATCTTGTAGAATTAATTATTTTTTGATGTGGCTGTGTTTAGATTTTAAATTACGCCTCAGCGGTGAAAGGCCAGCACATTACTGACAGTCCATTTATCTAGTACATAGCACTCTTCTCTAAGTTATCGCCTAGGGAAGCCCGTTGCATTAGGACAGTGATATCAGCATCGTGTATAAACGCTAATCTATATTGTGGCCATCACTCTTTTTTAAAAGCCAAGTGGTTGATAGTGGTACAGTAGGCTGTTCATTGAAGTTTGAGGGTTTATGGGAAAATTGTCAGTGAAATAGTTGATATCTGGCAAACTTTCAAACAGGGTTCTACCTAGAAATAACTTTAAAAAAATTATTTTTAAAAAATTTCTTGGCGTGTGTCATTCTTAGTGGCACTGGATTCAAATTTGGAAGGAAATCTTGCTTCAGATCCCCTTTCACTTACATATTGTTCTGGAAAACTCTACAATGCCTTGTAATTACACTGGCTTCAGTTTTATTTAACTGGAACCTGATAACTATTGCTGGAATATAGCCATAATTTTAATGTTGCCGATTCTTCAGTTTGTTAGTTCTTCATGACTTGGGGACCTTGTCTGATTTAAGACTAAGTATAATAACTAGTGTGAACAAAAGTTAAAGGGCAAAACTGTCCAGAAGTTATATATCAAGGATGTGTAGTTAGCTATACAGCAAAGCATTTATTGTAGGGAATGAAACGAGCTAAAATAACATTTGGCAGAAGCGCTAGTCTTAGCCATTTTAATTATATTCCTTTAGATAAAGATAAGTAATTATATAAAGTTTTGGGAACTTCCTACATTGCTTAACTGTGCATGTTGAAATTATGTATGATTATTTTGCATTTAATATCTGAAGGTTGTTGCACGATAAATTTTCAGATTTTGATGGGCAGCCCTCTAACTGTACCAACCTATCCATTATAAATGCTGTTCTGGAGCAGGAAGTAACTACACAATGCTTGGGTCTGTGTTTACCCAAGAGGAAAGAAGCAGCTTTCTGGGATGAGTTGTGATTTTATAATATAATGGAATTTATATTTTTAAAATCAATTTTTAGAATAACTTCTGGTTATTTCTGATTGGTCATAGTTAATGAGGGAAACTGTCATCTACTTTTGTAGATTTATAACATTTTCGCATCTCAGAATTCCTTGAAATATGGATAGCTAAAGGAAAATGTGAATAACCAGGGATTTTAAGCCTGAACAAATTTTGAAAGGCTAATCTATAAAAAGGAGATTTGCCACCTTCAGCATAACTCCAGATGGAAGGAGGCAGGTCAATGGAGAGAAGTTACACAGGGATTTTGGAGTAAATTTTAGATAGAGCTTGTTAATAAACTATACCCAACAATGAGTTATCATAAGGACATGTAGTGAATGTTCTGTGCTGGACATTTTTAAAGAGAGGATAGAACCTGTTAGGAATATTTTATAAGGAGAGAAGAAAACCTGCAGTAAATCAACACTAAATGGCTATTTGAAATATGAGTATGTGTAAATCTAATTTCTTCTCCATTCTTGATCTCATTTATGAGGTGTGATGCCTGCTGTGGCATCAGATTGTGTTAACAATTATATTGATGGTTGAGTGCTGACATGAAGTTTAACCCACTCTCCCTTCTTATTTTAATTTCATTTTTATCCATTAATGGGATTATGTTCACCTTCTTAGCAATGTTACTGTGTCTTTCTTTTCTTTTTTTTTTTAAATAGAAGGAATATAAACCATTCGTAACACCAGTATCATAGAACTCCTATTATATGCAAGCACCAGAGGCAAGGTCAAGGTGTCAGAATTCATCATGTCACAGTGGCCTTACTCGATCCCTTTTATTCTTTGATCTCTGGAGCCCTGTTGTCCTGATGACAGATCATCCTGAAATGGGAAGTGCTGACCTATCAGAAATAAATAGCCAGAGATTATTCTAACAAATGACTAAAAAATATGAATTCCATTATAAACTCCTAACTCATTCCACAAAAAAACATATGAATCAAGTAAACGCTGTATTTTGAAAGTCACTTATGGTTGAATTCAGGTTAGTAGCAATGTCTTTTTGGCAATTACCCAGGCTCAGCCATCATTCTTGGCAAAGGTCACACAATTCTGTTTTAGGAATGAGGTCAGCAACATACCTTATGCTAGTGTGCTACTGGATCAACTTCCCAAATGAAGTTCATAACCAAGAAGAAAGTCATAGCAGAAGAGATACAGTAAATGAAAAAATTAGCAATAAGTAAGACTGTAAAAATCAAGTCCATCATTTCAAAGACGACTTAGTTCTAAGTAAGTTTTAAGACTACTGAGGTCTCGTTTCCTGACCAGAGTATATTAATACATGTAAGATTTAAATTTTAAATAGGATTTTAGTAGGCCATGTGTAATGGGGGCATTGCAGTCCATCAAAAAAGATAAATAAGGCAGCATTGTTCCATGCCTTACATTTCACAGCCTTCTTTGTCACCTGGGTATGCCATATATTAATCCCTAATTTATATTTGGTTGGTCAAATGTCATTAATTTTTTTTCCGTAGATACTTGACGTGTTTTCAGGCATTTTCTTGAGAATGGCCTAACTTGGGCATGTTGGCAATCATAGAACTGTTGTTTCCATCACTCACTGCTTGATTTTGTCTTGGTGGGTCTTGGCCACAGAGACAACTGCAGGGAAGGCCAGAGCCCTTCCAAGCACTTTACTGGTCCCAGTCTCCGAGGCCACATCAGTTATTTCAGGTTTAAAAAAACTTGTTTCTTGCCTTCAGCCTTTATTTTAAAACTGACATAAAAGCAAAATTATCAAGGGCGCCTACTGAATGAAATGCTTTCCTTGACTTAAAAATGCTCCATAAAACTGGGGCTAACCACAACTCTGGCCCCCCAACATGGAACAACTATCGTTCAGACCAATCTCTGTTTAAAAAACTTCTACTTTAGACTGCATCCTCTTCCGTCTCTCGAACTTCTAAGTCAGTTGTGCGCAGGAAATATTTAGGTTTCATATAAAATAAACAACAGCAACTTGATAGAAAGCATAAAATAAGCTCTTTCTGTACTCCTGGCATATACAGTGTGTTGAGATCAAGTCTGATAAACACTTGACTGAGAAGAGTTCTGTTGAGTGAGTGTTGTTTTGGGGAAAGACAGTAAAGTCTGCTGTTTGCCTAAGGGCGCCACCTTACCACATCTGGTCAGGAAACACTCCATGAGAGATGTGGGATGAAAGTCATCCCCTCAGGGGTTCTGGGGCACAAAGGGGAACCGTAGCAACTCATAACATGCCTTAGCAGCTACAGCAGCTAAATTGGGGTGAAGGGCCCAACGTTTTTCTGTCCTCCTGCCTTCTGATGGATGGGTGGATAAGAAAGTGTTAACTAAGTTCTGCCTAATTTACAGCCGCACTTGTTTTCTCCCATCTGGGATGGTTGTTGAACAAAGGATCGTGAGGACTCTATTAAATTGTTTGCAGGAGCATTCCATGTAGATATTGAGGTCTGTGTAACCTGGACAACGTTTCCTAGGTAACTTGGACATCTAGAACTGAACGACCATCACACATGCTCCTCCTCTATCAGGCGCAGCATTTCCAGCCAGTTACAGCTTTACTGTGGTCAATCATTAGAATAAAGAGTCTTGATGTGTAATAAGCAATGGCTTGAGTTCCTGATTGTGCACCAAATATCATGTTTGAGTGCTCTCGCTCACAGGAGGGAGCATCTTACCTCTAAATGAAAAGGTGACTGTGAAGTTGTCCATTTGTGACCAATATTGGTGTAGTTAGGCCTGGGTGCAATTGAAGCTGCTCTCAAAAATGAAATATTGAACTGAGGCCTTCATTGCATGTTCTTCGAAATAAAAAGAAAAAGGATGGACCTGTATTCCAAGTGTTGTTGATGCTATTGGCTTAGACATGTTCCTTTTATTGGGTCTGTTTTGCAAGCCTAAATTTGAGCCTGAAGAATTTCTCCATATAAATGTCTTAAGTATTGCAGTGGCACATCCATCACCTTTTTGCTTTTGAATTACAAAGATAACCTTAAGATATGAGCCTTCTACTGGGCACTGTGATACATACACAGAAAGGGTGAGCCTCCTTAGTGATGAAATCAGCCAATGCCCAAGAGGAAAGTAATAGGCAGAAAGGATAGGGTTGATGAAAAAATTGATTCTTTTCTATTAAACTGTACGTGATGTGTTTTTTATGAAGCAGGCATCAGCTGAAAGAAATATTTTTTCAACGAAAAAGAGATTGATGGTGAGGCAGAGGAAAAGTATATAAGGGATTAGGGGATAAATATGTGTCTTATTCCATTACCTTCTCAAATAATAAGGTTGAAAAGCATTCCATTGTAGTTACTTCAAATGTTTACTTGGCCTTGGTGCTATTAAACCTTTTTAATGTTAATAGCCTTGTTTTTGTTTTAAAGTACTTTCAGGATTCACATGTCATTATTTTCTCAATTCTAAAAGTTGTGTTGCTTATTTTCAGGTTTACCAAAGATGCAGGTCATTAAGAACTATACTGGAGCACCGCCCCCAGCTCTTCATGAAGGACCCCCACTGCATATCCAGGCAGGGGATACAGTTGAACTTTTGAGAGGAGATGCACACAGTCTGTTTTGGCAGGTATGATCCAAATGACAGCGGTTTGGTTTGGTTTTGTTCTTAATGGATGATTTATTGCTGCTTGAAGAATAAAGCTCTTTCTTTAGAAAGTGCACGCTTTCAGTTTTAGAAATTTTACATGAGATGGGGAAAAATATTTTTTATTAGCCTTCCCATGTTTACCAAAGCCAAAGTGGTGGTGAACATTAGAACACTAAAGAAAAATGGGATCAGTGCTGGGAATCATAATTACCATTTTTATTAAAAATTCATACTTTGCCAGAGCATTTTTTCCAAACCTAGGACCTGTGGGGGTATGATCTAATTTGCATTGCTTTAACATATTAACGGTTCATTTCAGGGAACCACCTAATTAACTTGCCAGTGGCCATTTCTGGCTATATTTGATTTGTGCCTACCCACAGAAATACTGAAGTTCTCAGAGGTGCTCTGGGCATTATTCATGAAATGTATGAAATGTGAAAAGTAAGTGAGCATGCTGATGTTTGCTGGTGATGAAATCTCTCTTGTCCAGGAAGCCTATATTTGGTCAAAGGATTGTGTTAGGTGAGGGCAATATGGAATAGTGTTAAGATTTGATAAAGCTGGATGGTAGAACATTGCTGTTCACGAAAGTATTCTCAATTTACATGTGTATGTTAGAAATATATCCCAATAAAATTAAAGAGTTCTTTAAAAATCTATTGTGTGTTGAGGGAAAAGGGCGTGGGCTTAAGAGAAAGATTAGCACATAAGTGAAATTTAGTTAGGGGTGGAGAGAGCAGGGAAGAACTAGTGGATAATAATCCATTGTGTACATGTATAAATGATAGTTATTTTGTTGGCTTAAAACTATTTATGGTCTGCCATTTTGTTACAGATGAATGCTCCTAGATTGAACATTTATCTCCAAGCACTGTAGCCAATGCTGTGGCCAATGAGTTTTCCAAAACTCCATTATTCTTCTTTAGTAGGCTACCCTTCTCATACCTTGTTCTTTCCAAAAGTGGAAGAGATAGAATGGCAGACTGAAATTCTACCCACTCTTCAGTCCAGTCCTGTACATTCCACCCCAAAACAAAACATATAAGTGCATGTGTACCTGTAAGATTACTCTTACTCAAGACTTCTTTTTCTTCATGGTTTTTTAATCCCACATTTCATCAGCTGGCTCTTGACTCCTACATTTTCAACTCCATTCTCTCCGCTAGCTCCTTTTCTGTGGCAAATAAATATACTTAAGCTCCTCCCATCTTAAAACACATTAACTCAACCTACGGTCTTGTTATGTTAGTGTGGAAACTCCCTCTTCCAGTCTCAAAACTAAACTTCTTGAGAGAGTAATCTGTACTTGGTCTCTCTTTCCTTATGCACTATTTATAACGTAGTCTCCTGCAGAAACTACTCCTACTTGGATCACTAATGCCACTTTAAAAAAAAAGTGTTGCAATACATAGTACACTGCACATATTTGAGTGTATAATTTGGTAAGTTTTGATGAATGAATATACAAGTGAAATCATCACTAATCAAGATGATAAAAACCAGCCCCCAAAGTTTTTGTGTGTGCCTCTTTGTAATTTTTCCCTCCTGCTTCTACGTTGCCCTTCCTCAATCCCCAGGCAAGCACTGTTCTGCTTTCAGACTATGAGTTTGCGTTTTATAGAGTACGTAAAAAAGAATTTTATATAGTGCATCATATAGTATATATTAGTTTTTGTATGGCTTCTTTCACTCATCATAATTTTTTTGAGATTAAACCATGCCTCTTTGTGTAACAATAGTTCTTACTTTTTTTAAAAACCACTTTATTGATTGTATAATTGGAATACAAAAAACTGTATACATTTAACGTATGCAACTTGACAGACTTGGAGATAAGTATAAATCCTTGAAGCCATCACCACAGTTTATGCCATAAACCTATCCTTTACCTCCAAAAGTTTCCCCCTGCCCTCTTCATTTTTTTTTTTATGTAATAGTGTTTAAGATCTAGCCACTTAGCAGATTTTTAAGTACATAACACGGTATTATTAAATACAGACTCTATGCTGTACAGTAGATCACTAGGACTTATTCATCTTGCACAATTTGAACTTTGTGCCCTTGGACTAATACTGCCCCATTTCCCCTTTACACCAGCCTCTGGCAACCACCATTCTGTTCTCTATTTCTATGTGTTTGACTATTTTAGATTCTTCACATAAGTAAGTATAGGCAAGGCACAGAAGTAACCCAATGTCCCTCAGTGATGTGTGTGTGTGTGTGTGTGTGTGTGTGTGTGTTTACTCAGACTTCCAGAAGAAGGAAATCCTGCCATTTGCAAAAGTGTGGAAGAACTTGGAGGATGTTACACTAAATGAAACAAGTTCTTTCTTCATATTGCTTATTATTATTCTATGTATGGGTAAAGCACAATTTATCCTTTAGCCTATCATGACCAGTTTGGGGCTATTACAAATAAAGCTGCTATGAACTTTCAAGTATAAGTCTTTATATGGACATATGCTTCATTTTTAGGTAAATACTGAAAGGTGAATGGGTGGATCACATGTAGATATATGTTTAACTTTTTGAGAGATTACCAAACTATTTTTCTAAGAGATTTGACTATTAACAGTCCAATAAGGGAGAAGGAGAGAGAATCTCAAGCCGACTCTCCACTGAGTGCGGAGCCTGATGCAGGCTTGATCTCACAACCCTGAGATCTTGACCTGAGCTGAAATCAAGAATCAGATGCTTAACCAGCTGAGCCACCCAGCTGCCCCCTAGTTCTTAATAAAATACATTATTTCCACCTATTTTCTCCTAGCTTGTTGCCTGACTTTTTATTATCTTAATAATGTTGTATATATAACAGAAGTTTTTACTTTGCTGTAGTCGAGTTTAATTTGTTACTTTAAGGATCATGCATATGGGCATTGTATTTAAGAAATATTTGCCTACCCCAGGGATACAAAGATATTCTCCTGCATTGTCTTCTAGAAGTTTTATAGTTTTAGGCTTTATATTTAGGTTTATAGTCCATTTTGAGTTATTTTTGAGTATGTGTTCATTTTTTTCAAGAATGGTATTCATTTTTTCGCATATGGATATCCTTGTGTTCCAGCACCATTTGTTGAAGAGACAGTATTTCTCCGCTGGATTGCCTCTGCACTTTTGTAGAAAATCAGTTGTCTGTGTATGTGTTGGTATGTTTCTGGATTCTCTATTCAGTGCCACTGATCTCTCTCCATCTTTAATACAATGTTATTTTGATTATTGCAACAAATAATGTCTTAAAATCAGACAGTGTTGGTCCTCCAGATTTTTTCTTTCCAAAGGTATTTTGGCTCTTCTAGGTGCTTTGAATTTCATATGAATTTTGGAGACATCTTATCTGACCAATAGCAGGTTGCTGCAATTTTTATTGGGATTGTATTGAATTATAGATCAGTATGAGAAAACTGACATCTTACAATATTGAGTCTTCTGACCAATGAACATGATATATCTCTCCATTTATTTAGGTCTTTAATTTCTCAGCAATGTCTTATAGTTGTCAGAGTGAAGGACATGCATATCTCTTGTCATATATCCTTAATTATTTCATATTTCATTTGATACTATTGTAAATGATGGCTTTAAAATTTCATTTTCTATTTATTGCTAGTGTATAGAAATATAATTGATTTTTGGAAATTGATCTTTTACCCTACAACCTTGTTAAACTCACTTATAGTAATTCTAATTAAATTAGAATTATTCTAGCAGATTTTTAAAAAAGATTTATTTTTGTGAGAGAGAGCAAGTGAGTGATGAGTCGGGGGAGGGACAGAGGGAGAGGGTGAGAGAGAATCTCAAGCAGACTCCCTGCTGAGCATGGAGCATGACACGGGGCTCGATCTCACGACCCTGAGATCATGACCTGAGCCGAAATCAAGAGTTGGACACTTAACCAACTGAGCCACCCAGGCACCCCAATTCTAGCAGATTTTTAAAATATAGACCATCAGGGGCGCCTGGGTGGCTCAGTCGTTGGGCATCTGCCTTCAGCTCAGGTGATGATCCCAGGGTCCTAGTTTCGAGCCCAACATTGGGCTCCCTGCTCAGCGGGAAGCCTGCTTCTCCCTCTCCCACTCCCCCTGCTTCTATTCCCTCTCTTGCTGTGTCTCTCTCTGTCGAATAAATAAATAAAATCTTTAAAAAAATAAAATATAGACAATCATGTTGTCAGTGAATAAACATGGTTTTATTTCTTCCTTTGCAATCTGAATGCTTTCTATTTCTTTCTTGCCTTATAACAATGGCTAGAACATCCAGGAAAATGTTTACCAGAATTTGGGAAAAGGTACATACTTGCTTTATTTCTGATCTTAGGAGGGGAAACCATTAAGTCCTTTACCATTAGTTATGAGGTTATCTGTAGTTTTTTATAAATACCTGTTATCAAGTTGAGGATGTTCCATGCTAGGCCTAGTTTGCTGAATGTTTTTATCAGTAATCCATGTTGGATTTTACCAAATGCTCTTTCTGCATCAATGGAAATGATTTTATCATTTTTTAAATTTATTAATTTGGTGTATTACATTAATTTTCCGATGTCTAACCAATCTTGCTTTCCTGAAATAAACCCCAACTTGTTATGATATATTGTCCTTTTTATTTATTGTTTTCTTATAATGTCTTTGTTCAGGTTCGGTAATAGTTTAACACTCAAAGAATGAATGGGAAACTATTCCTTTCTCTTAAATTTTCTGAAAGAGTTTTTTTAGAATCAGCATTAATTATTCCTAAAGTGTTTCATAGAATTTATCAGGAATGCTCTTTAGACCTGGAGTATTCTTTGCAGGAATTTTTTTTTTTATTACAGTTCAGTTTCCTTCATAAATATATGGCTATTCGGGTTATCAATTTCTTTTTGAGTGAACTTTAGTAGTTTTTGTGTAGACTCTAGCAGTGTCACCTCTCGTTTCTGACATAGGTAATTTGTCTTTGCTTTTTTTTCTTGATCAATTTAATTAGTTGGTTATGAATTTTAT